GACTCAAAATCTGATATCGATATTTTCCTAGGATATTCATCGACTAGCAAAGCTTATAGAGTATTTAACAAAAGAACTCTAGTCGTTGAAGAATCCGTACATGTCTCATTTGATGAAACTAACATCTTTGATCGTGAGAAAAGTATTGAAGATGATGTAGGTTTAGAGAGTTCATTCGAACAAATAAATATTCAGGATCAAAATCAAAGAGTTCAAAATGAAAGTTAAGAGCCAAATGATGAAGAAAGCAAAGAAAAATCAACTGAGGCTCAAAACGACTCTACACTACCAAATGAATGGAGGTTCGTCCCATCTCATCCAAAGGAATTAATAATAGGTGATCTCTCTAAAGGTATTACTACTAGAAATTCTCTTAGAAATCATCTTGGAAGTTGTGCTTTTCTTTCTCAAATTGAATCTAAGAACTTCAAAGAAGCCGAGTTTGATGAATTTTGGGTTCTAGCAATGCAAGAAGCGCTAAATCAATTTGAAAGAAATAATGTTTGGAATTTAGTTGCTAGACCTAATAATCAAACAGTGATTGGAACTAAATGGGTATTTAGAAACAAACGAGATGAAGATGGAAACATTGTGTGTAACAAGGCTAGATTAGTAGCCCAAGGTTACAATCAAGAGGAAGGAAAAGATTTTGAAGAAACTTTCGCACCGGTAACTAGATTAGAATCCATTCGTATGCTTCTTGCATTTGCTTGCTACAATGGATATACATTATACCAAATGGATGTCAAAAGTGCATTTTTAAATGGATATATTCAAGAAGAGGTCTTTGTTGAACAACTTCCCTATTTCAAAGATCACAAATATCCAAATCATTTTTTCAAGCTTAGAAAAGCACTTTATGGCCTAAAACAGGTTCTTGGAGCTTGGTATGAACGTTTAAGTAAATTTTTAATCTCAAATGGATTTGCTATTGGAAAGGTCGATACCACACTTTATGTAAAAAATTATAAGAATGACATGCTTATTGTTCAAATTTATGTTGATGATATCATATTTGGTGCCACTAACATATGTCTTTGTGAAGAATTCTTTAAAAGTATGAGCAATGAATTTGAAATGAGCATGATGGGAGAGCTAAAATTCTTCCTCGGTTTGCAAATTAAACAAGCTCCAAATGGAATATTCATAAATCAAAGTAAGTATTTGCCAGAGATGCTCAAAAAGTTCGACATGGATGGGCTAAAACCAATGAACACTCCCATGAGTTCAACAATTAAGCTAGACAAAGATGACCAAGGTACTCCTATTGATGTGACTAAATATCAAGGTATGATCGGATCCCTTCTTTATTTAACCGCTAGTAGACCTGATATTTTGTTTAGTATTTGTCTATGTGCTCGATTTCAATCTAATCCTAAAGAATCACATCTTAAAGTTGTTAAAAAAATTTTAGATATCTTAGTGGTACTAGAACTATAGGCCTTTGGTATCCAAAAGGAACTCACATCGACTTGCTTAGCTATTCGGATGCCGATTGGGCCAATTGCAAAATTGATCGCAAGAGCACTAGCGGAACTTGTCATTTTCTAGGCTTTGCACTAGTTTCATGGTTTAGTAAGAAACAAAATTCCATTGCCTTGTCTACTTCCGAAACCGAATATATTTCAACCGCTAGTTGTTGTGCACAAGTGTTATGGATGAAACAAACACTTAAGGATTATCACTTGTTATTTGATCATGTTCCTATTATGTGTGATATCACTAGCGCTATAAATTTGTCTAAAAATCCTATATTACACTCACGAACGAAGCACGTTGAAATTAGACATCACTTTCTTAGTGATCATACTCAAAAAGGTGATATTGCATTAGAGTTTGTCAATATGGAAAATCAATTGGCCGATATCTTCACTAAACCTCTTGCTCTTGACCGTTTCACACACATTCGTAGAGGTTTAGGTCTTATTAACGAAATTGAAATGCATAATTAATTTAAGTTACTATGTGACTTTATTAAAAAAAAAAAAGTTAGCGGACGTACCTAACGGACGAGTCCTGTAACGAATCTAGTTCGGCAGCAAAAATTCTATTTTAGATGACGAGTCCGGTACTTTTACTGGATGCTCGGTACACAAAAATTCCAGATTTTAAAATCGCGAATAGTACCCTCATTTCTTCATTTTTCCTCCTTCTTCTTCCCTTCCACCATCTTAAACTTGGTTGCCTATCGCTATTTCATCAACATTCGAGCTTCACACAACATTTCGTTCCCTAATCAAAGATTTCTACATCTTCTATTCTTCAAAGACTCGAACATTCACAATTTTTTCCCCAAATCTCAGCCTAATTTCGAAATTTTTCAAAACCCTTCAAATTTAACAAAAATCTTCAAGTTCCACACTATGTCAAGATCAACACGATTTGGGAAGAGGACGAAACAAATGGTTCAACAATCTCCACCAAGTTCATCGGAGGAAGAAATGGAGTCAGACCCCGAGGAACCCACAAGCCATTTCGAAAAATTTCCTATCCTTCTAGGTAAAAATGTTGACTTTTATGAATTTACTATTGAGGCACCGACTTTTCGTTTAGAAGAATATTTTGCAAATATGGGTTGGGTGTCGGTTCACACTATACAAGAAAATGCATACCCACGACTTGTGCATGATTTTTATAAAAATATGGTTGTCACTCCCCGTACGGATAGCATTTCATGTTTCATTAAGAATGTACAGATCACTATCACAAAAACTTTAATTCGAGATATTCTTGAACTTGCACCATGTGACACTCAAGTTTTTGTGCACAAAACTCACCCGACCGTAGCGGGTTATGACCCTAGTGATGCATGTCGTCATGTGATGGGAAAGGATTTTGAAAACATCACAAAGATTAGCACATACCACTTGTCTCTTCCGTGCATGGTTTTGCAAAATATCGTAGCCAATTTCATTTTACCTAGGAAAGGGCATCGAGACGCGGTTAATTATTTCGACTTGTTCGTTCTTGATTCCTTCCTTGTTGACCGCAAACTAGATTTTCCAACTGTTGTGATGGGTATTATGAAACTTGTTCACTCCTCTCATATTACCAAAGCTTTACCTTATGGTATGTTATTAACAAAAATTTTCAAGCATTTCAATGTTCCTTTAGACAATGAGAAAATCTTAAAACCTCGACCCACTGAAACTATCAATATTCAAACTCTTAAACGCATGAAAATCTATAAAACTCAAGGACAATGGGTGGCTTACACTAAAGGCTTCGACCCCGCCTTGGGACATTCGATACTTGCATTCGAGGAGGAAGAGGAAGACGACGACAATCCATTAACTACACATCATCCTCACCCTCTGACATCCAGTGGTCCATCATCTTCTTTACGTAGATTCACCTTTACCGAGGATCAGTATAATTTTCTCAATGGGTGACTCGACTCACTCACGTCTTCAATTGATGGGCTTAGCGGTCTTCTTCATTATGTTCAGTTAAAGCAAGCCGCAATATAGGCTCAGCAGGATGCCATTCTTGCACAGCAGACAGAGATGCAGGCTCAGCAGAATGCATTCTATGCTTACTTTTACGCACATTTTCCTCCACCACCTCCTCCGGAGCCTTAGCTTTTTGTTTTATCTTATGCATATTTTTGTAGTCCCAAACTCATTATGACTCTATCTTTTGGTGTTTTGATTATGAAATTATGAACTTATGTTTCTTCTTTTATGACTCATTATTTGTCATTTTTTATTATGCCAAAAGGGAGAAATTATATGAGATGATATAATGCATGATAATAAACGCTTAAGTAAGGGGGTATACATGTATAAAAGATAGGGAAAATTATTTCTTTACTTATCAAATTTTTATCATCTCTTGTTTGTTTCCTCACTTATTAAATCTCCATCATCTCTTGTTTGTCATAATTAAAAATGGGGAAATTGTTGACTTACGGTTGACTTCTTATTTTGATTATAACAAACAAATTATGTTTATTACTAACAATTCTATTTGAATGATTATAGAAGTTATGACAAATGTAGTAAATCGAAGACAAAATGTTGCTTTTGGAGCTTTCGCAAAATTTGAAGAAAGTAGAAGCCAAACTACACAACAAGTCAACAAGCACTTCATCAAGTCAAATTATGAAGAAATTTGAAGAAATTAGACTTAGACACCTTGATTTCAAATGTAAAGGTTAAAACACTTTAGTATTTGGCAAATACGTTATTTGAAGTTCAAGAAAGTTTCTTCGCACAACAAACACGATTTTTTGCAT